TGTGGCAGGGAATCGTGAGGTCGCGAGTTGTGGTAGAGGCGAATGTCGCTGTCGCATTTGGAGGGGCTGGACTCGCGAAATTGCTTGGCAGGGTTGCGTGATGTGTGTGCTCCGATGGGTGTTTCCGCTTGACTTTTGGAGGAAGTCTCGTGCGAAATGCTCGTTTTGCAGACTTTGACATGTGAGTTTTGGAGGAAGTCTCGTGCGAAATGCTCGTTTTGCAGACTTTGACATGTGAGTTTTGGAGGAAGTCTCGTACGAAACGCTCGTTTTGGAGACTTGACATGTGGCTTTTGGAGGAAGTCTTGTACGAAACGCTCGTTTTGGAGACTTGACGTGTGACTTTTGGAGGAAGTCTTGTACGAACCGCTCGTTTTGGAGACTTGACGCGTGACTTTTGGAGGAAGTCTCGTACGAAACGCTCGTCTTGCAGCTTCGAAGCGTGACTTTTGGAGGACGTCTCGTACGAAACGCTCGCAGGATTGCTTCTAGTGTGTGGGCAGACCGTGTGGCGACACGACGTTTGTGATGTCGCAGTGCCATGGGGATTTGCGCAGCCTTGGTGGAAAGTGCGTTTGCGCGGCGTGGTGTGACACGTTTGCTTCTATGTTAGGGAGACCGTGTGGCGACGCGGCGTTCGTGATGTCGCAGTGCCATTGGGGTTTGCGCGGCTTTGGTGGAAAGTGCGTTTACGTGGTGCCGTGCCACTGGGGAGCGCGAAACACGCTGGCGCAAACGCTCGTTTTGGAGACTTGACGTGTGACTTTTGGAGGAAGTCTCGTACGAAACGCTGGTTTTGGAGACTTGACGGAGAGCGCGCAAGGTGTGTGCAGTGAGGCGGTTTTGCTTGACGCGGTCATTGACACAGTGGCGCTTGACGACGCATCGACAAGCGCAAGGCTGCAGTTGTCAGTAGTAGTAGTAGTAGTAGTAGTAGTAGTAGTAGTAGTAGTAGTAGTCGTACTCGTAGTCGTAGTCGTAGTCGTAGTCGTAGTCGTCGTCGTGGTAGTAGTAGTAGTAGTAGTAGTAGTAGTAGTAGTAGTATGACCTACAAGAGTGTCCCACAAGAGCGTCCTACAAGAGTGTCCCACAAGAGTGTCCTAGAAGAGTATCCCACAAGAGTTTCCTACAAGAGTGTCCCACAAGAGTGCCCCACAAAATTGTCCCACAAGAGTGTCCTACAATGTACAAGAGTGCCCCGCAAGAGTGTCCTACAAGAGTGCCCCACAAGAGTGTCCCACAAGAGTGCCCTACAAGAGTGCCCCACAAGTGTGTCTCACAAGAGTGTCCCTTAAGAGTGTCCTACAAGAGTATCCCGCAAGAGTTTCCTACAAGAGTGTCCCACAAGAGTGTCCCAAAAGAGTGTCCCACAAGAGTCTCCTACAAGACTGTCCCACAAGAGTGTCCCACAAGAGTGTCTCACACGAGTGTCCCACAAGAGTGTCCTTGAAGAGTGCCCCGCAAGAGTGTCCCACAAGAGTGTCCCGCAAGAGTGTCCTACAAGTGTGTGCCGCGAGAGTGTTCCACAAGAGTGCCCTACAAGAGTCTCTCACAAGAGTGTCCCACAAGAGTGGCCTAGAAGAGTGTCCCACAAAAGTTTCCTACAAGAGTGTCCCACAAGAAGAGTGTCCCGCAAGAGTGTCCTACAAGAGTGTCCCACAAGAGTGTCCTACAAGAGTGTCCCGCAAGAGTGTCCCACAAGAGTGTCCTGTAAGAGTGTTCCACAAGAGTGTCCTGCAAGAGTGACCCACAAGAGTTTTTTACAAGAGTGTCACACAAGAGTGTCCCACAAGAGTGTCCCACGAGAGTGTCCTACAAGAGTGTCCTACGAGAGTATGCCACAAAAGTTTCCTACAAGAGTGTTTCACAAGAGTGTCCCACAAGAGTGTCCCACAAGAGTGTCCTACAAGAGTGTCCCACAAGAGTGTCCCGCAAGAGTGTCCCACAAGAGTGTCCCGCAAGAGTGTCCTATAAGAGTGTCCCGCAAGAGTGTCTTAGAAGAGTGTCCCACAAGAGTGCCCCACAAGAGTGTCCCACAAGAGTGCCCCACAAGAGTGCCCCACAAGTGTGTCTCACAAGAGTGTCCCTTAAGAGT